GTTGAATATTTTCCACCTTAGGGTATGCTAGTACCAAAAAGGGGAGGGGCTTTTAATACCATAAACTCTCTTGATATAAAAAAAAAAATATAGAAATATTGATTAACATCACACGATTGTAGAAAGGTAATTTTCTTTTAAAAAAAAAATTATTATTCCACATGCAATTATTGGTGTCACATCAGTTCCATAGCATAATTACTGTTTTTTGTAAAACAGTGGATAACTCATTCAGATAGCCACAACATGTTTCGCCCTACTGGGCTTCTTCAGGGGGAAGTATTTATCATAGAGGAATCCACATAGATTATCAAACTACACCACTATGTGAAGATAAGAAGGAACCAACCATATCAAATATAATCTTCCTGCTTCAGACGGACGCCGTCATGCATGGGAGTCATGTCAGGAGGGCAAATCGCAGCACCCGGAAGCGAAGGCAGCAAGAAGAGGGGATTGGTTGTGAAAAAACAACTCATAGCAAACCTCTGATGCATTCCTCACGAGTACCACATACACTCAAAATACACTCTTCGTTTTAGCACACACAAACACAAGATACCATCCAATTTTTTGTTCAAATATAAAGTGACAAGGTTTCTGATATACTAAAACCAGCCCGCCTGGCACCAACAACCATGTCATGTTCAAAGTCACTAAAATCACCTTTCTTCCCCATTATGATACTCAGTTTGAACTTCAGCAGACCATCTTGACCATGTCTACATGCCTAAATGTATTGAGTTACTGCCATGTGATTGTCTGATTATATATTTGTGTTACGAGCAGTTGAAGAGGTGTACCTAATAAAGCGGACAGTGAGTACATATTTGTGCCTTTGTCGTTACCATTTATTCATGCGGGCCCGGGTTTTAAATGCATCTGTACAGTGGAATATCAAAATTCTGAATGTATATCCCCGATTTCCATATCGCATGAACAAAATAGCGTTTATAAGTCGATCAACACATGCAAAAAAAGTATCAAAAAGCACGTCATCGTTCCTGCATATGCATGAGAGTAACTGGGTCCTTACTGCTCGTCTCACACAACGTAAGCTCGCAGATAAGCCACATCATTAAAAACAATGAACTTCCATATGTTGCCAATATAAAGTCTCAACAGTTGTGAAAGGGTATCTGCGTTCTAAAAATAAATATGCATTTGTATAATGGATTTCCATAACTTCTATCCCACTCCTACTACCATATCAATCTACTGTAGAAGTTTGTAAACTTATAAAACACTGCCATAGTGTTTACCTGTTCAATGCAGTGTCATACACCCCCTCGGACCTGCACATTCGTGCTGGTACAGGGGTCCACACTTGGGCGCAGACTGTATGTATCCAAGTGTAGACACCCAGACCCGCATAGATGTGCAGGTTCGGGTGTGCGTATGACAGCGTGTAATTGCGGTCAGCCACGTCATCCAATTGGGATGAACAGGCAGCTGCGCGCAATTATAAGCAGCACTTGTCCCTCCCGGGATTGGGTCTTTTTGCAGGCGTGCACGCCATATGAATGTGTACTCGTCTGAATGAGCCCTAATTGGCTGCTGTCTAAAGCTGCCCATACACCTTGCGACACTTTTCGTCCAATGATGGAACCGTTGTATGATTTTCGTACGGCAGCCTCATCCTGCCCCGATTATCACAAGGTTGGATCAGCAGTACTTAACAGAAAAGCACCTGGACGAATTGCGGTAATCGACCGCATGTATTTTTTGTCTGCACATTTGCAGTGTAAATCATACGAATTTTGACATACGGAAATGCCACCAACCTTGCAAAAATCGTACGATCGACCGAAGTTTTCTAAATTGCTGGTTAGTCAAAAGTCGATCGATTGTACAGTATTTGCGGTTGTACACTGCCCATCAACCTTACAAATATCGGACGGAAACGCGATCGCATACGAAAATCGGCCAATATTCGGAAGGTGTATGGGGAGCTTAAGGAGAACTATGAGATGAGTGATTTCCACTCACCTCATAGTTCTAGCCGACCTGTGACAATGAGACTGTCACAGGTCGGCTCAGTAGATCGGGAGTTGAGCGAACACATACCAGGTTCGCTCACCTCTCGATCCTGTCACGGCTCTCTGCCGTGACAGGGGGAGGGGCTGGATTCCCCTCTCCCCGCTCCGATCTGCCAGCGCTGACTGGCGGAACGGACGGGGGAGGGGCGGGTACAGCTGGCTCTGCCTCTTGACAGGCAGAGCCAGCTGTCACTCACGCAGCTGGGCGGATCCCGTCATCTACGTCTGGATCCGCTCCGGCGTCTCAGTATACCGCGAGCTGTATCTCGCGGTATACTGAGCTTAGGGTAACGGGAGGACGCTAGTTTGTGTCCTCTCGTTACCCTAAGGAGAACTATGGGGAAAAACACTGACCCCATAGTTCTCCTTTAAATCAGCTCTGTGTGTATGCAAGACATGGACCTTAAGATTGTAAGCTCCTTGAGGGCAGGGATTGAGGTGAATGTGCACTATGTAAAGTGCGGCCTAACTGGTCAGCGCTATATAACACCGGTAATAAAAACGATAGATAAACCATAATTAAAGTTGCAGGTGAAAAACAGGCCAACTACAGAAGACAAGTCCATTTTCAGCTTCCTGTTCTCCTGGCAGACTTTATGAAGTCTGAAGTTTCCCCCCTCCCTACAGAACAAAGAATGATTGCTCACTGGCGCATTTGGACATTTTTATCACATGAAGTGTCATAGTGTTTGTGCTATTTATCATTCTTAGCAGTAAACTTAAATTTCTACTGCACAGCCACTCCAAGAGAGAGGACCTGTGGGCATTAGATTGGGGTAAGTAAACATCTGTGGAGTTAAAGGATGAGGTCTGTTAGCTCAGGGGAGGGGCAAAAAAGGATAAAATCAACTTTGTTTTAAAGTGTACTCATTCTTTAAAGCCTGCACATGCACCATTCATTTTGAGATGCATCCCAATGCTAAGGCAACACAACCCCAACGCATATGGGCTGCAGCATACCACAACACATGGTAATGCACTGACGCACTGTGGTGCAAGACACGATACATGTAAACTTTTTGGGACATTTTAGTATGTTGCCAGTCCATCAATTTGAATGGCCTGCCTTAAAGAAGAACTCTGGGCAGAAATATTCTTAACCCTTGCAGTGGGGCAACCGCCACACTGCAAAGGTTAAGTGCTCATTGTTGTCTCAGCTGCCTGCTAGACCAGTCCTTAACTCACACCCCCTCCGCTCCAGCGGTCTAAGGTCCTGTAAGTCATCACATCCTATAAAGTCTATAGGACAGGAGGACCCGAAAATTGCAATGCTGGAGCAGAGGAGACAGGTGGTGGGGACCGGTCTAGCAGCCGGTCACATTTAGGGATACTGTACATTCATACTGTAATGGGTATGGCCACGTTTACAGAGATTGTACATTCACACTGTAACATGGCCAACTTTATGTCCACGTTTAGGATACCGTACTGTGTATGGCCATGTTTAGAGAGATTGTACAGTCACACTGTAAGGTGTATGGCCACGTTTAGAGAGATGGTACAGTCAAACTGTATTAGGTATGACCACATTCAAGGAGACTGTACAATCATACTGTAACATGGTCATTTTAAACCAATGTAAAGGTCTCTTGCGATGGTTGTAAGGTAATTGGAAAAAAACGTACGATCTGCCCATCTTGGACAGGCAGATCGTACTTGCGATCATCGCAAGCCCGCCCCCTGAGGGCAATTATCTTACGAGCATGCCACAAACCAGCCGAAAACTGTACGATTCTCGGCTGATTTGCGAACATGTTCGTAAGACAAAAGTCGTACGACCGTACAGTAGAAACGGTTGCACGCCTTCCACACACCTTGCGATTATCGTATGATGGCGGGATTTCCCGCGATTATCGTACAATAATCGCAAGGTGTGTGGGCACCTTAAGAGAATGATCAGAGTGATTTCATTGTACCTAGTCTTATTGTTTTTTTTTTTTATTTACGGCATGAACTGAAATATCAATCTGTCCCAGCCTGAAGGACAGCCACTGCTTTGTTCAACACACACACACACACACACACTAGACAGGACGTCCAATCACTATCACAGAACCAGGCTGCGGTGTAATGCGGGCCGGCCTCTATATAAATGAAAAGTAACTGATGTCAGACATCAGCAGTACAATGTATGCCGGCCATGTGCACACAGGAGATCCACGCCGGAGACATTAAAGTCTCTACACACATGGTAATGTGTGGGAGTCTTACAGAGGAGGGACACCCGGACGGGATGGCACTTCCGTGTGACTCATTTCCACTACAATGAGCAGACTTAGAGGAGCAATGAGGAAATACATGTCCTACGTGCTGTCATGTCCCTCTTCAGTACCCCTACAAGTCCCTGCCCATACACCCCCCCATGTTACTCTCCCATAACCCTCCATGTCTTTTTCGGATACCCCTCCATGTCCCTCTCTGGTACCCCTATAAGTTCCTTTCTGAAACCACCCATGTCTGTCTTTGGTACCCCACATTTCTCTCTCTGGTACCCCCATCAACTCCCCAGCCATGTGATGTGGAAGCCATGAGCAGCATCTCCCTCACCATAACAAAGAGAGGTGGCATCCCATAGTAACCCCCGGCTGGGTACCACTGACCACTGGCCCGCATCCCTCCACACAATGAGATTCCAGTAGACTCCATTTACACACCTGGATAGAGATACTCATTCTCCATAAAAGTGACAGTTATCTTCATTCGGAGCCCAATCAGACTTGAAAATGACAGTCACATGGCTGAAATAAAGAGCCTTATCCTTTGTGTGTCCTGATTTACGTGGCATCTGCATGCAACAGCTGCTCTGTATCCTCCCAGCCAGCCAGTACAGAGCACCCGAGCCCAGGAATGTGGGACCCCCCAACCCAGGAGTGACAACGTGCACAACTTTACACAGCCCACATGTACCCTGGGGGCCCCATCACCCTCTGATTCCACAGATCAGCATCCCAGATTTCATACCGTAGTCAGCAGAGGTCTCATCTGTTCCCCGGCACGATCTTCGTCCATGGCCCTGCGGTGTATGGGACCCCCCTTTCCTGATCGGCAGCGAGTAGATCTGGGGTGCTGCGATCAGCGGATGTGCACGTGTACCCCGAGATCGGCAGACCCGATCACAATGGCTACAACATCAGATCCACTCACACACGATTCCCCGGCTAGGTCCTTTATCGGAAAAGAGAGCCGTGTCGTTGGCTCGCCCCTCCCCCTCCTCGGCTTACTCTTTCTTTTTGCATGGCCTCTTCTATCTCTTCCATTGGCCGGGCCCTCCCCTTCCCTCTCACTGTCTGCCTCCCATCCCCCTCCGTGCTTTGTGCTCTGTCCCTGGAGGTGGTGTGCACAGGCTCCCGGGATGGTTGAGAGTGATGGGGAAACATGGATATCCTGAGTGGGGATGACTCTGATATGTCATCGCTGGGCTCTGAGCAGCAATGTGTGTAATGGCTGCTCTGATTCACCGCGCATTGTGCTTCTCATCATCTTCTTCCTGCTTTTCTGTGTGTACAGACCAAGGTGTTCTCCTAGATCACAGTTTAACAACCTTCTTCAATGGCTGCTTTCTTTAAAAGTATACAAAATATGCAGGAAAAGGTGAAAAAATGTTGTGTGATCCCCCAATAGTCAAACCAGACCCTTATTCTAGGGTACAATAGGGGTCGGTTATGGATTATAAGTAGGGAACTCCCCAAAAAAGGTTCATTTCTTTACATAACATGGAAAAGCAGGAAGGAGTCCCCACTTCACATCAGCACCCCCTTTACATCAGTAGCCCCCCTAGTCACATCTGAGCCCCTCACTGCCC